CTAATTATCTTGTTGTTATGTCCATCTAGTTACCTGCGACTCATAGCAACCCAATGCACAACAGCTCTGAACCCTGAACCTGAACCAAATTCATAGTCTCCAACACCCCTGTCCCTATTACTCCAGTCACTGTGTCAATCCATCCCATCCAAGGTCTTCCGCTTCTTTATGGTCCTTCCACTCTTCCAAGCATGATGCCCTTCTCCAAGGACTGGTTCATTAAGTTTTTCTTACTTTCCTTATGATTAGATTTGCGGTAGGAATTTTTGAAAACTGTTCTATCATTTCCGTGTCTCATATTAAAATGTGTATGCTGTCATTTTCCTTCAATGTTGGTAATATTAACTCTGATTACTTAACTCAAGTGGTATGAACCAAATTTTGCATTTTACTGTTACTTCCCCCTTTATCATTAATGAGCAATGTGTGGGGTGAACATGGTGATGCAGTTAAGTGCTCAGTTGCTTGACCGATAGGTTGGCAGTTCAGATATACCTGGCAGCACTGTGGAGGAGAGACCTGGTGATCTGTTCCCATCAAGATTCTGTTGTTATGTGCTGTCAAGTCAGAACTGACTCATAGCTGACCCTGCATCTGTTTTTCAGAGGCTGTGAAGCACAACGGAGGAGATTGTCTTTCTCTTGCAGAGCAGCTACTGGATTCGAACCACTAGGCTACCAGGGCTCCTTCAATAAAGATTACAGCTAGGAAAAGCCTGTGAGGCAGTTTTATTCCATCACACTGTGTTGCTTTGAGGTCTAAAAAACTCGATGACACAAACAACATTTAGTATTCATTCAGAATGGTACCCTTGAGTAACTGATGATATGTTCCACAGTCAGCTGCATCCAGTGGGCTGTGGAGTTGGATAGGAGGGTTTGAGAAATATTCCCATCACTGTTTTTAGTTACTAGAGTGACACAGGACTGCTGTTATTGAGCTTCTCCAAATGATTCCTTCCACAGATGTTGTTGTTGTTGTTGTTATGTGCCATTACACATGAACCTCACCTGATGGACTACATAGGAATTAGATTGGCTACATCTGTGGATTCTATGGACAACAGAATCCACAGATGTAGCCAATCTCATTCCTATGTATCAGGTGAGGTTCATGTGTAAAGTCACCATTTATGTTTTTAAAAAAGATGTGTGCGATGATTAAACCATGGAGTGTACAAAAGTTGATCATTATGTTTCCAGCTTCATTTCTGTCATACTTTCTGACTACCATGCCTTCTTCATTATTTCCACCTTTATTTTTATTGTATTATGTGTGTGTACCGTCAAATCAGATCTGACTGGTACAGGAGGAGATTATCCCTCCTTCTCCTGCAGAGCATCTGGTGGATTCGAACCATGTGCCTCTGGGATTGCAGTGCAGTATTTCCAACTTTTGTATTCTAGTCACTAATTATCATTAATGCATTTTTTTCATTCCCAAACATGTGTTTTATAAAATTAATCATCATTAAGACTGCATGTGTGGTCAATTTAGGACTACATAATTTGGTAAAAATCTTCAACTTCCTTCTCTTTGGCTTTAGCTGTTGGTGCATATATTTGAATAATAGTCATATTAACAGTCAAGTAACACTCAACATGATGGCACCTAACAACAACAAGGATGGTGCAGCTTTGTCTCACATATTTTGGGCATGTTGTTAGGAAGCGTCATTCCTTAGAAAGACATCATACTTGGAGGGGTTGAGGGTCAATCGAAGGAAAGGAAGCTCTTCAACAAGGTGGATTGTCATAGTGGCCGTATTAGTGGGCTCAAGTACATCAGAGATGATGAGGTTAGCACAGGATAGGGCAGGATTCAGAACTGATATTTATAGGGTTGCTATGAGTTGTAGTCAATTCGATGGCACCTTACAACAACAACAAATGATTTTCTGTCCCTGGTTCTGTAGTAACATGTTAAATTGCTAACAGAAAAGTCAAGTGGGTACAGTCACCTGCTGCTTCCTGGAAGTAAAATAAGCAGTCTCCTTCTGTAAAGATTTATAGACTCAGAAAGCTGATGGAGGGTCGCAATGGGACAGCAGTAGGTTTTTACATTAGTGATTTTTTAATTTTATTGTTGTTTTTTACTGTATTTCTTAGCATTCTACCAGCAAGAAGAATTTTCTGTTTCCCTCCCCCCTTTATTTCTATCTTTATGAATACATGGATTCTTATCCAGAGAATTATTTCTTTTTTTATTTTATATTGGTTTACATACAAAATTCATTTACATACAAAATTAATTTACATTGTGTTTCACACTTTTCTTCATTGACATTGTGTTTCATACAGTCATTCCCATACATGTGTTTTATAAAATTAATCACCATTAAACTATGTCCACCATAATTACCCTGTTTTTTCAGGTCCCTGCTGGGTCTTTCCTTTACCCTGACCCATGAAATTGTGTGACTCTGTGATATCCTTCCTGCCCACTCTTACCCCAGCTATTCTAATCCTTTTCAATCTGGATCCATGCTCTGCCTTTTATGGTATCCTCATTGCTTTCTTAATCTTTCCCTTTCTGATGCAACAGATATTCTGGCTCAACTTGTGCTTTCTTTATCTCAACACTGGAGTGAATCATTTCTTCAAGGAACTCTAATTCATTTTAAGAGAGAATTGCATTGAAAAACCAAGATCTAGGAATACTTGCTGCTACTGGTTTATCATTACTTTTAGTAACTCTCTGAGACCTGAACTAGGAAATATGTCTCTCTCTCTTCTCTCTCCTCTCTTCTCTCCCTCCTTCCCTCCTTCTCTGTCTCTCTCTCTCTCCCTCTCTCTCCGTGTGTGTGTGTGTGTGTGTGTGTGTAAAATCATAGATTCAGATGATCCCAATCTAAAACTATGTTTTGTTCTGGTTACTCTTTGCTTAACAATATATAAAAAAGTAAATTTGGGATTTCCATTCCATACCAATGTAGAAAGCAAACCCACACACTAGAGGTTACTATTTATATTTCTTTTTCAATTTTTGTGGTAAAACTTACATACAGTAGAATGTACAAATTCTAAATATCAAATGCAGTGAGGTTTGGTAAAATACATATATGTGGAACTTTTACCCCTCTTAAAATAAAATGCTATATGTCTTCCAAGGAAATTCTCTTGTAAGGGGATTTTAATCACTTCCCTTCTGTTGAGGTAACACTTTTTTTAAATATTTTTATTCCACCATTGCTTTGTCGATTCTGAAACAGTTTTACTCTTGTATGTGGCTTCTTTTGTAAAACCTAATGTCTGTGAACTTCATCCAATGCTCCATGAAGGTCTTTCCTTTTTGTTACAGAATAGAATTCAGTTGTTTGGGTGGCTCATGATTGGTTTACCTATTCTCCTGCTGTTGAACATTTTGAAGCCCTGGCTTAGTCCATAGAGAGTTGTGCTCCTAACCCAAAGTTGGGACCTTTTTGGTGGTTCAAATCCCACAGCGACTCTTCAGGAGAAAGATGGACAATTTCTCTTCCCTTGCAGTTCAGAGCCTTTTGAAAACCTAGAATGTCAGCTATGAGTTATTCTGACTTGACAGCAATTAATGATCAACAGGCTGCTTCAGAATGCTTGCACCTGTCTTTTTGTTATTATTTCCCTTGAGTAAATAGCTCAGAATGCAGCTGATGATCATAGGCTAAGTCTGTGTTTAACTTTTTAAGTAGTAAACCTTTTTCCAGTGTGGTGCTTCCACATTCTCATCTGCAGTATATTAATGTTCTGATTGCTCCGTATCTTCAGCAGAATTTAATGTGAAGTTTGAAAAGCTTTAGCCATTCTGTTGGGTATAATGATATCTCTATGTGCTTTTTATTTGCAGTTTCCTACTGAGTAATGACATATGAATAATTAACAGTTACTTGTTAACTTTTTATATATCTCTCATTATAAAGTGTCAGTTTAAGTTTTCTGTCCATTTTTGTTGGTTTGCTGTCTTTTTATTGTTGATTTTTTTTCCCGCCTTTTAGCTGTTTCTGGTCATCACCATTATCATCTCTATTTATTTACTGAGAATTCCCTATTTTTTCCATTCACTATGACCATGTTTGTTTTTGTAATTGTTACCACCAAGCCACAGATTTGCTGCCAGCCATCTCAGAGACAGTGGTGGAGTAGAAAGAAAAGCAAAGTTTTGTTCTCTACCAATTGTCTCCCCATCTTGAAGCCAACTTATAAGGCAGAATGTGAGAAATTGTCATGATACTTTCTCCTGCCTGGGCAGTCTGACCAGTAGTCAGATCCCAGACTGGTTGCCCTGATCTTAACAATATTCCAGTGGTAGGTCATCCCTATGTTAAGGGATCATGGCTTAGAGAACATACCATGATTAACATCACTGTTTTTAGTTAACTTTTTAAAGGGAAATTACTAGAGTAACACAGAATGGCCAGCCTTAGTTCCTGGCCATAAACTGTGGAAGCAAACAAGAAAGGTAACCAAAAGGGTTTAGGCCAAAATTACTGGAGGCAAATGGCAATAAAAAAAGGTTTAGGACCCTGAAGGAATGTTATTTTGATAAAGAAGTGAGCATCATTATGACTAAGTAAAAAGGAAGTCCTATTTTGCCTAAGTTATTATGAAATGTTAGTTTCACGTTATTATTATTGTTGTTATGTGCTGTGAGTCAGAATCAACCTATAGCTGACCCTCCAGTGGGTTTTCAGAGGCAGTAAACTGCACAGAAGACATGATTATAGAGCATTACAAAAGGTGAAAAAAAACCAACTCTGATTGCCATGGATTCTGAACCAGCTCTTAGCTAACTCTCTATTGGGTTTCCAAGGCTGTAAATCACCTGGGAAGAGATTATTTATCTTTCTCTAAGAAGCATGTTAGTTTTTTATTATTTTATTCCTCAATTGCATACTCATTTTTCATATTGATGACATTTCCATATCTAACAGCAATTTGAAAGAAAATAGAAATAAGGTCTGTCTCCTACATGCTGCCATGCAAAGTTACCTCAATGTTGACGTTGTTCTTGATTGTGTCTTCCAGAGGCTTCTTGAGTGAACCTTTCAAGAAAGGAGGCCCAGATTGTTCCACTGTCTGCCTCATGAAAGGACAGATGACATATTCCCAGGTAAGAGGGCACCACATAAGCCTCCCTGCTCAGTTATTCTTTGTATACACCGATGATAAGTTTTCCGAGGTAGGAGTTATGTCTTCATCATACCTTTACTCCTTTTAGCACTTAAGTCATAAGAACTTACTTTGAAGGGCAGAGACATGCATTTGGGATTATGTTGTTTGGAGTCTCTTTGGGCCAACCAATGGGAGACATCCCAGTGACCAGTACATTTCCGTGGTGCCACTAATATAACCAGAATTGCTCTCTTAGGACAGAGCCACTGGGTCTGTTAATTCAATAGCTGCATGCCATGGGCTTTAAAGTTGGATATAAGGGTTTGAGTCATCATCCCCATTTATGATGACTTGTTTGACCACAAGTGAGTTAGTTAATCTCCAAAAGTCTCAGTTTTTAATCATGTCCATGAAATGACATCTAGATAATATTACTTATTGTGAAGAGTGCAACCTACTTAGCAAATGCTTGGCATGTAGTGAATAACAAATATTAGCTGTTATTGTTACTCTTAAACACAGTTTAAAAACAAACAAACAAACAAACAAAAAACACAACTTAGAATCTAAAACTACCAAATTCTCAAGTAGTACTTGTCTAAGAAAAAGACTTGAGCATTTTCTCTGTAAGTAAATATTTAAAGCATTCTGTGTTAATTTTGCATTATTATTTATTATAAGCACCCATCATTGGTCATAAAACTTGGGATATACTGTAACAGAATGCAAAAGCCTATTGGGAAAGTGCAAGTAGTCTTCATGTGGGGAATATGTTTTTGTAGTCAGCCTAAAACATATGACACACAAATATAGTTTAGCAATTGGTGATTGAAAGCTGTAATGAGATTGCTAGTAATAAGCCTTCTTCAAAACTTTATTATTAAAAGAGTAGCAGTGATGTTTTTGGACAAGGGAAGTGATACATATTTTCAATTGAATGTGTTGTTGTTGTTATGTGCCGTCAAGTCGCTTGCGACTCATAGCGACCCTATGTACAGCAAAACTCCACTCTGTCCTGTGCCAATCGCACTGTCTCTGACACTCCCATCCCAATTATCCCAGTCACTGAATCAATCCACCTCATAGAGGGCCTTCCTCTCCTGCGCTGTCCCTCCATCCTCCCAAGCATGATGTCCTTCTCCAAGGACCTGTCTCTCCTCACAACATGTCCAAAGTATGTTAGACGGAGCCTCAGAATCCTTGCCTCCAAGGAGCCACCCGGTTTAACCCTTTCCAGGACAAATCTGTTTGTTTTCCTAGAAGTCCATGGTATTCTCAATATTCTTCTCCAGCACCACAGCTCAAAGGCATCAATTCTCCTTCTATCCTCCTTGGTCATTGTCCAACTCTCTGATGCATAACAAGTGATTGCGAAGACCACGGCCTGTATCAGATGCACCTTAGTCTCCAGAGAGACACCATTGCTCTTCAGTACTTTGGAGAGATTCCTAACAGCAGACTTTCCCATGGCAATGTGCCTTTTAATTTCCTGGCTGCTGGTGCCAAGACTGTTGACTGTGGAGCCAAGCAAACTGTAGCAATAAAATTAATTTCTAGTGCTTACTATGAAAACCCTGTTTTCGTAGCTTCTAATAGTTGATGTAACTTCTATAAAATGTCTATATTGAAGTAAGAGGTCTGCAAAAGTAAATCATAGCCTGATATGCCTGATTTGTCTTTTAAAAAGTCCTATCTTGGCAATTAAAGTAATCTTTTACCTTTTTATTTATGTGTAACATAAAAGTACTCCAAATCCAACTCCTGTTGAATTTTTGCAAACTAAATATATCCATGGCACCAACACCCATACCAAGGGAAACAAACCAAAAACCAAAACCCATTGTCAGCCCTCTCACCCCTTCCTAATACTTCCTTCTAAGAGTAACCACCTTTGACTTTGAAACATTTAGATCTATTTGCTTAATTGTGTATTTTATAGAAACAAGCTGTAGGTGAGCTCTCTAACATCTGGCTTTTTTTGTTTCTTTTATATTTGTGAGATTTATTCACAGCATATCGCTGTAGATAGTTTGTTTCTGTTGTTGCTTAGCCTTTTATTATATGACTCATTCTCATTCACTCTCATTGCCTTCAACTCAGAATTGACTCATAGCTAACCCTCCAGTCTGTTTCTGAGGCTGAAAATCGCACAGGAGAAGATTCCCCATCTTTCTCCTATGGAGAAAAATTTGAATCATGGTGGATTTGAAGTTCCTGAGAGTGATAGCCTTTGAGTTAGCAGCACAAGTCCCCATAGGCTATGCCCCAGAGCTCTCATTCCCTAATCTATTCATTCTGCTCTTGATGAATGTGTGGGTAGTTTCTCATTTGGGACGATTGGAAACAGTGTTGCTATGATAGGATAGCAATTGGTGGCCAAGTTATAAGGAGTTGAGCTACCAAGCCAAAGGCACATGGTTCTAATGCACCAGCTGCTTTGTGGGAGAACAGTGGCCTGTGAACTTCTGAGTAATTTACAGCCTCTGATAATTCTCTGGAAGGTCACCTCTGAGGAAGTTTTGACTCAGCTGGCACATGACAACAACATGAGGGTATATAAATATATATCTCCCAATCTTTCTATTACACTACTGGTGGGTAGTTTCCAGTGTGGGACTTATGAATTGTGCTACTATGAATATTTTTGTACATCTCTTTTGGTGATTCAATGTTAGGTATTTCTATAAGTATTAGATATTTATTTCATAAGTATAAAATATTCAATGTTAGGTAAGTCCATAGTGGACTTGTTGAGTAGTGCATACATATATATTTAATAGATATTGCTAAAACTTTTCAAAGTCATTATACTGATCTATAACTCCTTATCAATTCACTTTACAGTGGTTGCCTCTTATGGAAGAAGACTGCAGGAAGCATTCTGAGGCTTCTGGAATCCGCCTTCCAGAAAATTTTTCTATAAATAAAATCTTTGGGGAAGCAATTTCAGCAAGAACAATCAACCGCCCCATTCTTCAGGCAGCCCTCAATCTCAGAAAGAAGGGTAAGGTTAAACAATTGGCTGTTCTACACCTCGGTCATATAGGAATCCTTGGGGAGTTTTGTGCCAAAACACAAGGTATATAAGAAATACAGTTAACAAAGGTAAACACTGTTGTATACACAATCCATCACTATCAGCAATAATAAACAATCTATAAACAAATATATAGGCAGATAGGCAATGAATAGATATAGATAAAAAGGAATATATCCAGTACCTTTCATAGATTTAGCAGAGGATATTTCTATATTCGTATTGATACATGTTTTAAAAAGAGGAAGGGCATTGTGGGACAGCCAAGTCTGACCTCTACCAACTTCATAAGGAGAAACTTGATGCTCCCATCAAGAGCATCCACAACAAAAAACCAATTCCCATGACGTCAGCTATGTCCTTCATCCTCCTGTACCACCTTCTCCTAATTCCAGCACCAATCTTACTGCTCTGCTGTGTTCAAAATCCATTGTAACAGCTACACAGACCTCACAGTGTTATACTCAAGATTGTGGGGTTTATTAGCGATATTAACAGGTTACAACTCAGGTTGACAACAGGATACAATTGCTCATTTGAGACAGCTTCTGAATCATGCTCATAGGCCCTTCAGCACTCAGCCTTGCAGCTTTAGACCAATGTTACAAACCTCTCTTAATCCTGCCAAAAACTATATGGTGCCTGACTAGCACCACTCACCACTCTTCAAAGGATCACCGTAGAAGGTCCTGAATAGAATGGCCAAACATGCAGAACAGATCTCTGAAACAAACTCTAAAACTCTCCTCCTTATCCCTAATCCTCCAGCAAACTTGGGCAAAGGCTCCACTCCATGGGGCATCAGTCCCAGGTCAACTCCATCTGTGTTAGGACTCTGGTTCTCTGCTATGACTGCTGGTGCTCTCCTGTATGTTTGACTGGTGCTGCAATCTCTGTCTCCAAAGGATGCATGCTGCATTCTCAACTTCGTCCTTGCTGGTAGTATTGTTGTTAAGTGCCGCTGAGTATGACTTCCAGCACCTCTCTGAACAATGGTTCTGAATGCTTCCCTGTTCTGAGCCATCCTGATCAGCTCTGCCATACTTGAGCCCACTGTTAGAGTCATTGTGTCAATCCATCTTGTTGAGGGCCTTCTCCTCCTCCGCTGACCGTCCACCTTTCCAAGGATGGTGTCCTTTTTCCAAGGACTGGCCCCTCCTCACAACATGTCCAAAGTATGTCAGACAAAGTTTTACTATCCTTGCCTCAAAGAAACACCCTGGCTTCACCTTCTCCAATATTTCTGCTTATGAACCTGATCGCTTTAATCCTGGTGAGATGGCCAAACATAGCTAATTCTCTTGTGGGTAGAGTTGGTTATGTATATGCTGTCAAGGCAGAACCAACCCATATCTGACCCTCCAGTGGGTTTTTAGGGGCAGTAAATCTTATGGGAGGATTTTGCTCATCCTTGTCTCAAGCAGTGGTTGGTGGATTTGAACCACTTGCCTTTGAGATTACAGCACAACTTCTTACCACTAGGCCACCAGAGTTCCCTTGTGGATAGATAAAGTAGCACCACACCCTATTTATATGTTCCCACCTGCCATGTGGAAAAGTCAAGGACAATGGCTCAGGAAAGCCATTTTGAAGTAGAGACTTACTATACTACCTGTAGAGTGCTATACATGCTGTAAATGCATCCACGTGTGTAGCAGAGCTAATAGGGGTAGTGCTTTATAAACTTCTTGATCATAACCTATCACCCTTAGGAAACGAGTTGCTGCTCCTAGGGCCTTGGAACCATAATCTCGGTAGACATCACAGTCAATAGATATAGCATAAACTATAAAAACAGTGTTCCGTGTTCTACTTTCATGAGCATCGATTGGAGTTGTAAGAGATGACTTGCAGCTATCTAAGGTGCAACTATCGGTCTCTCCCTGTCTGGAACCAAGAATGTGGGAGAAATGCAAAGATACATAGAAACCAGTAGTTCAAAGGATTAATGTATCACGCAAACTTCAATCTCTGCAACCCTGAGACCTAAAGAAATAGGTGGTGCCTGACTAGCACTGCTCACCGCACTTGAAAGGACCACAGTAGAAGATCCTGACTAGAGTGGCCAGAAATGTGGAACAAAACTCTAAGACAAAAACAATTTTACTTTTTTTAAGCTGATAGAGACTGGTGGAATGACCTTAGTCACCCTTCAAAACTGGAACACAGTACCACCACCACCAACAACACTGTACCCACTTCTGCTGAACTTACACCCAAACAGTAGACAGGCCTAGAACATGAACAATAACACTAGGAGAGCTATTATAAGGTCAAACCACTTAATATGAAAAGGGCAGCATTTGCCCAGAGGTAAAACTCAAAAGGCAGGAAGTGGTAGGATGGAAGGATTAATGGAAATTAGAATCAGCATTGTAATTAATCACAAAACAATTAGCTTCATAAACTTTCACTCAAATCCTGTAAAAACACAAACTAAGAGTGCGTATGCTTCGAAAGACCCTGGATCTTCTTTGAGTTAATGGAAAACCATTCTTAAAACATGGATTCAAAGTAAGTTTCAAGTGGGAAAATAGCAACAAAACAGTATTATAAAAATAATTGTTAAAAAGGCAAAATTTACTTACTGAAGAATTTAAGAGACTGCCGTGCCGTACCCATCAGGGGGTTGTGCCGCTAACCCAAACGCTGTGCCTCTCGAGTTAAATCCACTAGTGGCTTCAAGGGAAAAAGATGTGCAATCCCCTCTGGTGTGATTTATCGCCCAAACCCCCTGGACGGTCAGCTCTGAATGGGTTCTGACAGGACGGCAATGAGTGAGTGAGAGCAATTTAAACCAGAAATTGCTTTGTCAGCCGACTTCCTCATGCCCAAAGAGTACTAGTAATGACCTGAAAGAAAAGTCTCCCATCTTCTTGTCATAGGGATTAAAAAGCAAGGCCTTTTCTTAAGCAACTGTAATTTTTTTTCAGCTTTGGGTCAGAGAGGTTGAGCTATGAGCTGCATGACACATTCAAATGATGTCAAACAATCCAGGACATGAGATCGTGGTCCATCTAGCAGGCGGCTATCAGGGTTGGTGTCTGACCCTTCTTTTTAGGTGCAGTTGAAACCTTTCCACCTGTGCCCCTGCAGATTTACCCAGGTGGATAAATCACCTGCTAACATAATTCCTTACACGAATTAGTCTCAACATAGACTCACCTGTGTCTCATTTCCTGCTACTTGTTCTCATATGTTAAAAAGGTCAAGCGGAAAGATAATAGTTCTCTATTTCCATCTCTTAGTTTCAAAATGCAGGAACAGTCTCTGAAAGTCAATACGGATCTTAAAATATATCAGAACTTGCTGTAACCTGGCTGAGGGAAAGGAGCACCAGTCTATTGACCAGAGTTCTAGGTCGGGCTCTGCTTCACTGTGTGACTCTCAGCAAACTATGACTTGTATGAATTTCTGTTTCTTCATCTTCAAATTTAGGATAGTAAAATCTTGCCTGCTTATACAAGAAATGGTGAGGGTCGAATGAGTTGATGTTTTGTCAGGATGTTTAGATGCACAGTTGTAAGGGATTATGGGATTGTAGCATCTTAATCCGAGTTTCTGAAAGCTTTTAATGTATATACACAGTTTACCGTCAGATCTCTTGGCAGGAGGTGCTTTTCGATCAAAATGACTTCTCCAGAACTTGTCAGTTAAGAAACAGTATTAGAAGATAATGATGTGAACAGTACCCCACCTAATCCATCTTCAGGCCGCCTGTAGGTCATCTCAAGCTTCTTAAAAACAGGTTTTTCAGCTCAGTTCATTCATGGAATGGTTTCTCATTCAGGATTTACAACCTGCATCCTCACCAATAACTGGCTGGACGATAGTGCCCAGAGAGGCGGCCTGGCCCAGCTGATGGGAGAGCTGAGGCCACACTTCGATTTCCTGATTGAGTCCTGTCAAGTTGGCATGGTCAAGCCTGAGCCTCAGATTTATGAGCTATTACTGGATACCTTGCAGGCCAGCCCTAATGAGGTAAGTAGAAGTTTCCTTTCTGTAGATAAGACTGTACCAGAGATAAGACAAACAAAGAGTGTTTGAGAAGGAAGAGATCAAGTACCCAGTAGGGCATTTCTGTGTCCCTGCTAGGGACACTTCTTCTTGATTAGGACTTTAAAAAAAAAAAA